GACATCATCCTCAAAGTACCTTCTTGGGGAACTTGGCTTCATGACAGGGAGGGAAAGGAGACGCAGGGATAGTGGCCAGGACACCAGGTGCTGAGCAAGGGGATCTTCCTCCTCCAGGCTGTGAGTCTCTGTTTTCCCCTCCTCTGGCCAGATCATTACAACCTCCTGGGGCTGTTCTGGTATTTTCTGTAAGTCACATCTCAGCAGTTTATATGCTTTGTGTTAGTCAATGCAGAGGATTAAAGAACAAGGAGGGCTTGGCAGTTGTGCGGTGATCTGAAGGTCACCAGAGGTTCTGGGCTCTGTGATTCTAAAGAAAGGTTATTTAACATTAACATCTTAATCGTGTAGGTGTGGCTTTTCTTTAGAGTGCTGTGCAGCGGGAGGGGAAGCAGAAGCCACTTAGCCAAGGACAACTCCTGGAAGTAGCAGGCACCAGGAGGTGCCTATCAAGTGTTCCTTCATAGTCACAAACAAGTGTCCCACTTGGCTGTGGTTTCTTTTCTTAGGGCCTACTCCCAATTTCTGCCTGCTCCCTCTTACCTGCTCGCCGGTGCCTTCCCATCACTTTTTTAAACGTGTATTTCTATCAAGAATTTATCCTCGTTATCCAGGGAGCTTAGTCCAGCCAAGCTACTCCAGCATTATGACTTTCCACATGGGCTTATCTTACATTCTCTTACTATATTTAGTATGATGAGGCAGAACTCACTGGCATATGTCCTGGAGACATGTGTCCTCCCCTTGCTGTGAGATGCATAGGGAAGGAGCTTTGGTTTGGTCAAGCTGGCACAAAATAAGGACTGAAGACTCAAGGCACAGAGGCAGAAGTGAGAAGCAGTGCAGGCCAGGCCATGTTCCCACCTACCTTCTTGGCCTGGCTGGTGGAGGCAGATGGAGACTGGCGGGGGAACAGAGCCTGTGAAAGACAGTCAGATAGAGTCCCAAGGTACATGACTAGTCTGGGAGGAGGGGGCACAAAGAGGTCTCTGCCCATTACACACAGGCTGTCTGCTCTATTCAAGGCCTGGCATGTCACTGGATGGTATGGGAAAGGGGTCAGACCTGGGCTCCCTTAGGAGGGTGATATCCCCCAGGTCTGTGCCTGACTGCCCATGGGTGTGCCTGGTACTTTATAGGGAAAAAATGGAAACAACAAATTGGACAGGAAAAACTATAGGGCCTCGTCCTGACATGAGCAGAGACAGGATAGTTTCGAGCTCTGCCTCCCCCACAATTCACGTTAAAGTCCTAATCTCCAGGACCTCAGAATGTGCCTGCATTTGGAGAAAGGGCCTTTAAAGAGGTGACTGAAGAAAAGCCGGTGTGACTGGTCCTTATAAGAGATCAGGACACAGACACACAGAAGAATGACCCTGTGAGGCACAGGGAGAAGATGAAATCCACACAGGGAGAGACTCCAGAGAAACCAACCTGCCAACACTTTGATCTGGGACTTGGAGCCTCCAGAACTGAGACATACATTTCATACATTTCTAGTGCCCTGCCTGTGGCTTTGTCATGGAGCCTGGGTAGACAAGTATGGCCAATGCAGAAACAAGGCCCGGCCACCTGCTTAAGATGGAGGCAGGGACAATGCTTCCCTGTATGTAGATACAATTCAGTGAGGGGAGTCCCTGAACTCCTGGCCTATTGGTTTCTCTGAGGGGCCACATGTCACTAAGGTATGGAGCTGGGTGGGTGGGTAGGGCTCCAGGCCATGGCATCCTGGTCTGGTGTCCTTGGTGACCCCAGGGTCTCTGAGCCACCTCTTCCTCTGCCCCAGCCACCAGCTCTGCAGCCCTACAAACAGCACTTTCTGCCACTGCCATTCTGGAACTGGAGCTGCACCAGCCCTCCAGCCAGCTGTTCTTAGACCCTGAGCTGCAGTCATGGGATACCCCATCATCCTTTTTAACAGCTGCAGGGAAGAGAGGGGAGAGACAACAAGCCGGCCTTCCCAAGTGATGGGATGAGCCAAGCCAGGCCAGTAGCAGTGGTCCTTGCACTGTAGTCCCGTAAGTCCTACTACAACCAACACTCCGGGATGACTTGGTGTGCCCTGACAGGCCCCTTGCCAGTCTTTCCAGCCTGGGCTCTGTTCTGACCTGTGTTGGTCCCAGAGGAAGGAATGGAGCAGATGCAACATTTGTGGACAATACCTAGAGCCCCTGACTGTGCTCATTGGTGTTCCAATATCTACTCCTCACAGGTGGCCTTTTATTCCATCTTACAAGTGAGAACACTGAAGCAGGAAAGCGTATCAGGGCATTACATCTGGCTGATGGATACAACTGGGAGGTCCCATGAGCCATAGAAGCTACTGTGACTAACAGAGGCCTCTTTCCATAGCATGTTCTAGTTGGTCCTAGTGGGAATCAGTAGGGAGAGGCACAGGCCTGCTGCACAGGGATGCAGACCTGCTTTGTCAGTATAGGGAGGGGTGGAGGTGGAGGTAGTGATGGAGGTGGTGGTGGTGCATGTAGAGGTGATGGTTATTTGTTGTGATGGTGGAGGTGGAGGTGATGTAGGTAGAGATGTAAGTGGTGGAGATGGAGGTAGGGAAAAAGGTGGAAGTCGTGACGGAGGTGATGGTAGAAGTTGATGGTGATGAGGGAGGTGATGGAGATAGTGGTGGATGTAGAAGTCAAGGTGGTGGTGATCATGATAATGACAATGTCGTCTGGGCTGTCTGGTGAAGGGAAGATGGGACTGAGGTGGGAGGAAAGAAGCTATGGAAGACCAGGGTAGAGTTCCAAAGGGACTTAATGTTCACCCCTTAACACTTGTGAGGGTCAGGTGTAGAGGCATACCTACTCCATTTGTCCCAGGTTCCTTGGGGGTGTCTGTAGAACCAGCCTGTGCCCGGGAAGGATTTGGTGCTATTTATGAACACTGGAAAGGGATCAGAGCAGATGGACATTAAAGTAGGTAGCTCAGTGCTCCCAAGGCCAAGGTCTGGGAAGGTGGGGCAGGGGGAAGAGGGGCTGGCTCTTGGCTGTCGCTGCTTCACACCTGGCAGGCTTCCTCAGAGCTGTCTTGGCCCACCCCATGTCCTCATCTGCTCGCAAGACCTCTCACCCCAGTGCACATTTGCACTGGACCAACCTGGTCTTGTGCCTGTTTCTAATGTGGTCCCCTCAGAGGCTCCTGAGAGGTCACTGCCTGTGGGAGCCTTCTCGGACACTTTTTTACTCCCTCTGGCATTGTTCTTGCTGCCCTGCAGAGCCACAGTCCCAAGGGAGGCTCCAGGCCTCTGAAAGCATTAGGGCCCTGTGCCCAGCACTATGGGCAAACAGCTGAGGTTTCTGGTGTTTGTGGAAGGAAGGGTAGTTCTGGATTTACCACCAACTTGGCTGTAAGAATATGGACCACTGCCAGGTCTTTCCATGTTCCTCAGTTTACCATCCAGTCAACAGGGCAGGCTGGATGGCCTCCAGGGAGGATGCCAGGAGGTGCTGCCCAGGAATGGGGCTGGCAGCTTTGGTGAAAACTTCAGCAGTCACTCAAGTGTGAACCCAGCTTGGCAGAGCTGAACAGGCTGAAGGGGCCCCAGGAAGCCCCCTCTCCCAGGAGACAGGAGACCGCCTTTCTCCTCTGTAGGTTGACATGGCAACAGCCTCCTCCTCCTGGGCTGGGAAGGCCTGGGCTGAGTCATGGGCCCAACTGGGAAGATGACAGGGTCTCCCTGCAGGACAGTGGCTCCCATCCAGACTCAGTGGGAGGCAGGGTGGGGGGAGGGGAGGACCAGAACTGGGAAGACCACAGGAGGATGCTGACCCAAGAACTGGCAGGCCCTTTTGGTACCAGCTCAGCCTGACCTCAGGGCCCCTTTGACGAAGTGTAGCCCCAATTTTGCCTTTTCCCAAGATGAGTGGGTGCTTTGGCATGGACAGGACGAAGCTGACTGCACATATGGAGGCCATTCTGCTTCACCTGCCCGAGGGCCTGGTGAAGACAACTGAAGTCCACAGAGAGGACTCAGGCAGACTTAATGCCCCAGCATGGGGGAGGGGCACAGGGAGGGGAGCTGGAACTGCTCAGCCAACATGCCTCTAGAAAGCTCTGTGCAGGAGCCCGCAGAGCAGACACCATGAGTAAAGTATTCCCTCCAGAGCTAATAAAAAGTATGGACAAGAAGTTATCACTGAAATTCAATGGTGGCAGACATGTCCAAGGAATATTGCGGGGATGTGATCCCTTCATGAATCTTGCAATAGATGAATGTGTGGAGACGGTAGCTAGTGGGCAACAGAGCAATACTGGAATGGTGGTAATGTGAGGAAATAGTACCATCATGTTAGAAGCCTTGGAACAAGTTTAAATTATGACTGTTCAGCAGAGAAATCCACATTCCCTCTCCGAAGGGCCTGTTTCACTATGAAGTAAAAACTGGGTCATGTGCGTTTTCATATTAAACTTTTTTAAAAAATAAACTTTTGTAATACTCAAGAAAACCAAACAAACCCGAAAGAAAGCTTTTTGCCTTACCATAGCCTCCTGCCGTGGGGCCAAGCCTGCCCAGACACCCACTAGGGAGGGCCCTGAGGATGTGGGGGAGGCACAACAGCCTCACAGACTTCATGCCTTGCCCACTTCTTGCCCAAACTTCTGCTTCTGGGTGCCCAGCTCCACCCTGAGGAAGGTATAGATGAGGGCAAAGATGGGTGGAGGTGCAGCGATGTATGGCTGCCTTTGGGAAGATGGTACCAACTGAGTCTCAGATTCAAGAGGGGCGGCTCAGGTTCCCTCCTGAGGGTCAGCTGCTCCCTACCTCAACCCCAGGCGGCCTTCCCAGTCTATGCCCTGTCTCCCTGGGACTCCCTCTCCCATAGTCCCTTCAGTAGGGGCAATCCTGGGGAAAGAGGAGGGATGTCACCTGTCATCAGCCCTATCCCAGTCTGCCCACCCCATGGGGTATGTACATATGGTGGTACCTGGGACAGAGTCCCAAATACCCACTGCCCCCCCCAGTCCCTGCCCTTCTGTCCCTAGGAATAATCACAGCCTTCTCCACCTGTGGAGGCTTTATTACACTGTCATCGTGAGGACCACGGTGTGTGAAATAGGAAGACAGCGTGCATTGCTAGTAGTGTACAGGCTGGCCATGCAAACAAATGTCCCAGCCAAGCGCTAAGTGGGAAGAGCTGTCCTCTGGGATCACCTTCCTGGGGCAGCGCAGCAGTGAGACCACTGGCAGAGCAGGCCCTGGGGACCCCACACGGCAGGTGGCACCTGGACCTCCTCCTCATCCCCCTTTCCCATGCTCTCCCACACAAGTAGTGTGCACATTTCATCTGAACCGTGCTGGTTATAAAGTTAAAACTGATTCTCTTTTACATTAACTTCACAGTAACTGCACAGAAAACAGAGTCCAGTGTTGGTACTCAAGATAGGTTTTCTCCCTCCCTTAGAAAGCACTTGGGGGAAAACCAAGTGCCTGTTAGGGAGACCTCGAACAAGCAGGAGACCTTCACGGTTCCCGCAGAGGCCCAGAAGCAGTCTCCAGCACACAGATCTGGGTTTGTAACTAGCCCAGCTGGGCCCATCCTGGGATGCCCAGCTGTGACACACACACACACACACACACACACACGCACACACAGAAAACCCAGGTTTTGGAGCATATCGTACATCACACAAAGTCCTGCCAGTCCTTCCAGAGGTGGAAGTCAGGAGCCAGGGACAATTGGAAGCAGGAGTCCCCTCCCATAACTCTTTCTGCATTATGGCTAGTCCAAGGCCACAGACCCTGGAGCATCACTGAGAGGCACTGGCCTCTCAGACCAGCTGCAGATACACCAGGAGGGCCAAAAGCCTAGAGAGGTGAACTACAGATCCTTCCACCCATGGGGAAGACCAACTGTCACTTCACTCCAGACCAGGCAGATGAATAAATAGAATGTCAAGTTTTATCAGGTGAAGAGACAGTAACTTAGACTTGGCTCAACTCTGCCTTTAGTGCCACTTCCAATCTGCAGAAACAGCCCTGATGATCTGCAGAAAGCCAGGTGTCCAGGCAGCCCTGCCACCTGGTGACCTCCACAGGCTGGGGCCACCCCTGCTCTACCTCACCCCCTTCCCACAACAATAGAGGTTCTGGCAGCAAGACTTGCTTGGTGAGTGGGTGGGTGAAGCAGCTGCAAAGGTAGGGGGTGTGTCCTTCACATTCTAGGGATACCAGCCTCCTAAGGCTACAGATGAAGGTGGGGACTGTGACTCTGGCCCAGCAGGTACATGCCTGCCTCCCCCTTCCCATGTAACCAGCCGCTCCCACCCACACAAACATTGTGCCTGGTAATTAGGGCAGCCTCTGGCCCTATGGTTGGTGCTGTAGCAATGACCACAGTGTCAGGGAGATTCCTAGCAGGGGAGACCCTCAGGGTTCCCACCGGGGCCCAGCAGCAGGCTGCAGCCCACAGAGCTCCACTCATGGCAGGGGCTCATTACTAGCTCCCTTGGCCCCATCCCAGGATGTTCAGAAGCCCTGGACTCGGTGCTCAGGCCTGTCACCCACACCAGCAGTCCTTTGCCAACTTCCTGCAGTCTCTTCCTAAAGAGAATTCATTTCCAGATTTCCATCTTCTCTGCCCAAAGTTACGGTGCACCAGGAGCTCACACTCTGGAGGACCTACATTCCACCCCACTGACAGTATCTCCAGGGCCACCTGGACTTAGCAGACCCTCAGGGTCCCTGCCGGAGCTGTGATCCCGGTGACAACAGCTGTGCCTTCATGGCCCCTGCTGGTACTCACAGTGCCCCAAGCCTTCCCAGAGGGGTTCCCGCTGCCACTCACTAGGAGTGGTCTGTTCCCTCCAAGCTTTAACTTTCCTGATATGTGAGTCATTCTCTTAGGGTGACACCAGGCTCACAAGGACACCCCTGAACATGCCAGAGGGGCAGTCAGGGAAGTCTCAGGACAGAGACAACTGGGCCACCTCAGACTGAGGAACCAAGGTCCTCAGTACATTTGGGTCAGATTCCTCCAGAACTTGACTAGAGGAGACACTGAGAGTTTGGCCCAGCCTGGGGAAGGACACAACCTGAAGTGCAGTGTGGAAGGAAGGCAAAGCAAGAGGAAGGCAGCCTGAGTCACTAGTCTGGGTTTTTCTAAGCGGCAGCAGCATTCTTCAGGTGAACAGGTGGAGCCATCCAACCTTGGAGGCTTCCACCTGGCCAAATTTCCTTATCATCCTAGAGTTCCACCCCAGAGGCCCTACCCTCTCCCCTCCCCCACCCCAGGAATTCAGAGCCATGTATCACACCAGCAGGGACTTGACCAAGCCATAATGGAACTTGCGGACATGGCGATACAGGTCCCCAGACTGTGTGAACCGGCGATCACACCAGCGGCAGGCGTGCGGCTTCTCCCGCGTGTGGACCACAGCATGCCGGCTCAGGTTGTGTGAGTACTGGAAGCTCTTGCCACACTGCACGCACGTGTAGGGCTTCTCCCCTGAGTGTGTCCGCTCGTGCCTCTTCAGTGTGTAAGTGCAGGAGAAGGTCTTGCTGCAGAGTGGGCAGGTGGGCACCGTGCCGTCAGGTGAGAACTGAGCTCGAGCACCATCCCGCTCTCGGAAGTGGGTGCTGAGATGCAGCTGCAGTGCATGGGCACTGGGGAACAGCTTGCAGCACAGTGGGCAGATGCAGAGTTGCCCGCCGGTACCCAACTCCTCCATGCTTGCCACTGGCTCTGTACCCAGTTCAAGCTGCTGGTTGCTAGCTCCATGGATGGGTAGTGGCTCCAAGCCCACTGCCAGGCCCTGGGCTGCAGAAGCACAGGCTGAAGGTGGAAGGCTGCCGGGGCTCTGGGTGCTGCTGCTATCTTCCTGTTCAGAAAGCAAGTCCTGCTCATCCTTCACCAGTGGCTGGACTCTTTGCTGCACCCAGCCGCAGAGGGGTGTCTGGAGGGTACAGGGTGGGTGAACAGGCTTCTGTCTTGGGCCAGGCTTCAGCGACAGGTCCAAGGCCCTATCCGACTCTCCTGGGGCTTGCCAAGGAGGAGACCCACATGCTTGAAGAGGCGCAGCAGTCTTGACCCCTGCTGGGGGTAGCTTGGCCTTCTGGGCGGTTGGGCTGAAGTCAGGGGTCCACGTAGGCAAGGGGAATGGTGGCTGGTCAGGTGGCTCTGCCCCAGGAGCGGGGGTCCCCTGGTCCAGAACCTGATCCTTCTCTCTGAGCCTGCCCTTGCAGACCTTGACGATGTCATACATGTGCAGGTAGCTGGCAGCAGCCAGGACGTCCTCGACAGGCAGGCTGCGCAGGTCCAGGCGGCCCTCGTACATGAAGTCCAGCAGGCGACCGAAGGCGGGCGCCGTAACGATGTCGCTGTTGAGTCGTACCGTGTCACGGCTGCCCGCGGGCCGGTCCCTGTAGAAGAGATGGAAGTAGACGCTGCACGCAGCCAGCACCGCGCGGTGGGCAGGAAAGCGCGCGTCACCCACCAGCACCGTGCAGTCGCAAAGGAAGCCCAGTTCGCGCTGCTGCCTCAGACGGCCCAGCAGTCGCCCGCCGTGCTCCGGGAACTCCATGCCGTTGCCGTCATCACCTGGGCACAAACGGGACGCCTGTCAGCGCGCCGTGACCGCCGGGCACCCCGACGCGCCCTTCCCGGGTGCAGGCAGCGCGCAAAGAGCGGCGCGGGAGTGACGCGCGCAATCGCCTGCCCGGAGCCGCCCTGGGCACCTGCCCGGAGCAGGAAAAACTCGATCAAAAGTAAACAGAAGCGGCTCCGCCGCGGGGGCGGGGCTCGGGGCGCGGCGGAGAGGCCCCAGCCGCGCGAACCTAAGCTGGCCGGGTCCGCGCTCCTGAACTTCACTCAGGGACCGTCGCCCGCCACGTCCCCCGATCCTCAAGTCGCAGCACAGCCGCCCGCCCGCGCCACCCCGCCGCCTCCAGCTGCCGCCGCCACCGCCGGCCCCATTTATGGCAGCGCGGCCGCTGGGAGCGGCCGGCGGGGCGGGCGGAGCAGGGAGACCGCCCCCGCGCTCACCTCCGCCGCAGCGCAGCTCTCCGGTCGCCGTCCGCGCAGCGCGCCCTCCCGGTGCAGCCCCGCGCGGCGGGAGGCGCGCCCCGGCGGGGAGGGCGCGGGAACCCGGACGGCGCCGGGCGGGGCGCGCTCCAACTTGGCCGGCCCGGCACCGCCCGCCGCTTGCCCCGCCCCAGAGAGCGAAACTCGGGGCGGGGGCTGGAGGGGGCGGGTCGAGGCGACTTCCCGGAGTGGCGGAACCGCTGAGGTCACCTCGCCATCCCTTCCCTGTCTGCCTCACCCGGCGGGTCCCGCGTGCCACTAACCGGGACGCTGCTGTGGGAGGGGATGCGGGACTCAGCTGGGGGTGGGTGAGGGCTCTCTCGCGATACTTAACAGTCTGGGCCTCCATGCCCCCCAACGGGGTCGCGACTGCGCCAGTCTGCGAAGGGACAGTGCCGAAGCACCGGCTTCGACTGGGGCCGACGCTGAGGCAAACACAGAGGGCACAGTGCGGACCACTTGGGGGAGGCACAGGCTCTGGGATGGGCGAGGGGCGCCGGAGGGAGATGGTAAATCTTAAAAAACAAACACCCTCTTTTTTTCTTGGGAGCCTCCTTTTGAATTTAAGTTAACTTAGCTGGACCCACTTTCAGATGCAAGCAGGATCTCCACTCTGGACTCCAGCACGGGGGATTTCTGCCCTTTGCAGACCCTGGACTAGGCCAGGCTTGCTCCGTGTCCCAGTGCACAGGATAGGGCATGTCATGCCACAAAGGAGAGGGCAGAAACCCTTCCGAACTGGGGTAGGCAGCAAACAGGAGACATGGAGGGGGTCAGCACTGGGATCCTGAGACATGTTCCTGGGGAAAAGCAGGGGCATGAAGGTGTGAAAGGAGACACCTGGTTCTTTGGGGGGGGGGTTTAAGGAAATAGCTAGAAAGTAATAAATAGAGCAGTGGTTTTGCAGCAGTTGGGGTCCTCCAGCACCCCACTCCCCATCCTCTGCTGTCTGGGAAGCCTTTTTCCAGGTCACAGTGTGAGTGGCTTCCTTGTCTGAGCAGGCTTCAGTCACCCTGGACATGGGTCAATGCTCTTATGCCTTTTGGGTGAGGGAGGGTAGGTAATGTGCAGGTGTGTGGGGGAAGAGCACACAGCAGGCACTAAATTGGTGAGCCAGGGTTCCAGCCTGGCTAGCCTCATTCTCCATTTCTTTCCTGCAATGCCAGGGAGCCCAGGGATGGAAGATGTGGGGGATGGGTACAGCCAAAGCTGATGGAGGGTGGGAGCATGAAGGAGGCCTTGAGCTGGTGGGGTGGTGCTGGAGGAGGGGCTGCATTACAGAGAACAGATATCTAGGTAGTCTGAGGCAGGCTCAGCGGAGAGCTCCCCTGCCTTGCTCCTCAGACACTTGGGGACAGAGTATGCAGTTGTTGGATGGGGAACTCCTTGCTGGCGTGAGGAGAGCTCTCAGGGATCCGTTGCAAATCAGGTGGGTGCCAGAGGCCCTAGAGCCCACCAAAATCAGGATCTAAAGTCTATGGGAAGGAAAGCCACAGTGTTATACTAAAAGGTGATTCCTTGTTTATCTGAAATTCAAATTTGACTGGACATTTGCACTTTTATTTCCTCAATCTGGCAACTGAAACTTATAACCTAGAGTCACACTGCACTCAGTCACTAAGACACTCAAGAGGCAGCAAGGCCCCATGCCTACTTGCTCCAACTCTGAGGATCCCTACCTGGGAGCACAGAGCCTTGCTTCTGCCCCTCTCAGCTCTGGGAGCAACTCTGAGCCTCCATGAACCTTAATAATCCTCATCTGCAAAATGGGACTCAGAGCACATCACAGCCTGGGGCTCAGGCCCCCTTTGCCAGGGCCGAGGCTGCTGTGAATCCTTGGCCAGGGTTGGTCATATCCATACCCCCACCCCATTCCTAATCCAATCCTCCACAGCAGCTGGCCAGCATTGCCTCCCCAGCCCAGCCCCTTACCTGCCCTGCCTGGCTGTCAGACAAAAAAGTTGTGGGATGCAGAGCTGGTTAGGTCAGCAAGTTGCCTGTGGGGCCTGGAAGGTCTGTCCAGTTAGGGATGAGCCAGAGGAGAGAGAGGGAACAGTGGGAGAGAGATCCCCTCCTCCTCTCAGGTTGTAAGATCTGAGTTCAAGTTCCTCTTGCCTGCCCTGTTCTGGGAGGAGAGGCTAGTTCAGGCAGCCCAAAGTTGGTGCTCAGAGCCCTACTGGCCTCTGGCCCTAGGATCCCTCCCTGCTGGCCAGTGTGGTCTCAGACACAGGGATGACAGGAGGCTGTCACAGAGCTCAGTCAGGGTGGTGGTGATGCGGCAGAGCTTCTCTAGACTCAGGGCAACCATCTGGCCTGGAAGCTGCCCCAAGGCTCCACCCTGCAGCTGCTGCCCAGACCTTACAGCCTGGACACCAGCCCTCTTGTCATGCCCAACACCAGCAGCTACAGAAGGTGACAGGACAGGAGTCCCTAGTGCTTGGGGAATGGGGCGGGGGCAGCAGTTTTTGTTAGAAACATCTGGCTGGGAACACCTCAGTAGTCCCAGCAGCAGCCAGGACAGGCCCTGGGGCTAGGTCCTCTCCTTGCTATTCAGTCTTGGGGTGGGAGAGGATGTTCCTGAAGAGGGTGTGGCCCTGCCCACTGGGAGAGCCCAGGCTCAGGGGAGGGCCAGAAGGAAGGCAGGACTGGGCACACAGGGGTGCAGGCATGGGCATCAGGGGGTCCCAGAGGCAGGAAGGGGAGGCCTCCTGGAGACTGGCCTGCAGAGTGTAATCAGGAATTGCTATGTCTTCCACAAGAGGGCATCTTGCTGGCTGTCAGTGGCCACGCCCCAGCAACAGCCCCAGGGGGCCCAAACCTAAGGTGAAGGTTTGAATGATGGATAGATGTCTGTGGACACTGCCAGGCATCCACAGCCAGGCATCCAGCCCAGGCAGCATAGACCAGCCAGGCCTCTGACTTGGCCGCCTGGAGTCAGGGTCCTGCCTGTGGTTAGGCAGTTGGAGCTGGGGCAGTTGTGCTGGGGTGGGGGGGGAGGGAGCAACTGGAGTCACCAGCCTGAGGAGTGAGTGCCCTTGGTCCGGGGGGACAGTCCTTCTCTGGGGAATGTTCTTCTCCTAGTCAGCCAGTTTTAGCTGCAGACTTCAATTCATCCTGAGTGCTAGGCTGGGCTGAACCTGGCTCTGTTTACACCTATCTACCCTCAGGTGAACTCTAACCTTTGGATGAAAAACAAAATGAACCCCCCCCTCCCCAAGAAAATACCAAGCCCTGGAAGGAAACTCAGAGTCCTCCTTTCACAAGAGGGTTATTACCACTTCGCGCCCGGGGGCTGGCGGGAGGGGCTGGAACTGGACTGCAGGGTGGGGGCAGCCCCCATGGTCCTGTGACTGCATCCATTCTCCAATATGGAGCCCCAGTGCCTGGGCGCGGGGCCCATGTGACTCCAGGAGCAGGGTCCAGGGCTGCTTTAGCCCTACCCTTGACTCTGTCCCCAATGCACACAGTTCCTCATCTGGGTGTCCAAACTCAGCTCAGATGGGAATCAGGCCAGGCATGTCCCCTTCTCCCTCAGTCACCTGCGAAGTTCTCCATCTGCTTTTGTGACTGCCCGCCCTGGGATAAATAATGAGCCGAGCGCTCCATAGTCTTCCTTTGGGTCATTTTAGGGTACTGGTGGCAGCTCCCTCCGTGCCTCTAGGTTGGGGAGCAGCACACATGAAGCACCTTTGGAAGTCAAGCTAACCTACCCCTCATCCCACTCAGCGGGTCCTCGGACCACTTCTAACAGGATAGTGGCAGAGCAAGGCTGAGAAGTGCTTGCTTCTTTTACGAACGGGGAAACTGAGGCCAGAGAGGACGTGGCCCGAGGGCAGGCTGGCCGACGGGGCTCCGTTAGCGGCCAGGCCCTGGCCCGGGGCCACCCAAGGGCCGCGCCTGCCCGCCACCCGCTCTCGGGGCGCCTCCGCCTTGGCCGCGGGCCGCGCTGGGGGCGCCCGGGGCGGCGGAGGCGGATGTGGGCGGGCGGCGCGGCGCGGGGCGGGCGCAGGGCGGGGAGAGGGCGGACCGGCGGCGGCGGCGGTGGCGGCAGCGGCAGGACGGAGGCGGCGGGCGGCCTGCCCAGCGCACCCAATCCCGGGACAGGCGGCCGCGACGAGCAGCGCGCAGCGGGCCGGCACCGACGACGGCTCCGAGGCCCGGCCAGCAGCGCCCGCGCGCCCGCGCCGCCCGCCGCGGCCTCCAGCCGGCCCCGCCCAGCGCCGCCCGCGGGATGCGGAGCGGCGGGCGCCGGAGGCCGCGGCCCGGCTAGGCCCCGTCGCCCGCACGCGGCGGCCCGGTGAGTGCCCGCGCCCCGCCTGGTCCTTCTCCGGGCCCGCCGCTTTGTTCCCGGCCCGGCCGCGGCGCCGCTGGGACGTGGAGGGGAGCAGGAAGTGGCCGAGCGAAGGCCTGGGCGTGGAGCGCGCGGGGCCTCGCCGGCCTCGCAGGAGGCCCACGCCGGCGCGGGGCGCGGGCCGCCCGGCCTCCTCGTGACCTTGGGTGGCCGCCCCGGTGGCAAGGCCGCGCGGGGAGAGGGGTGCAGCGAGCGCGGACCGGGGGCCCCGCGCCCTGGGGCAGCCGGGCGCCTGGCCCCCCCTGGCTCCCTGGCCGAGGGCGCTCAGTGGGACGGAGGCTGGCCCCGCGGCCTCCAGGCAGTGGGAGGGCTCTGGGAAGGAGACCTCATTTCCCATGGTCAGAAAGTTAGGCGCCGTGGCAGGGTGCCCAGGCTAGCCCGCAAAGGACTGCTAGTCCTTCTGGGCCTGAAAAGGGCTTCCTTTACTGGGTGGGTGCTGGAGGTGCCGCCCACCCACCTCCAAGCTGGAGGGCGCTTGGGGCTTGCCCTCTAGGCTGGGGATCCTGGGCCAGCTGCTAGACCTGTCCCGGGTAGGACTGGCTCCGGAGTTCTGCCTTGGTAGAACCTGAGGCGTTGAGGTGGGCTTGAGCCTGGGCTCTGCCCAGAGCCCCCTCTCCCTTTCACTCCTGGGCCTCCCACCTTTCTCCAGGTGGCCAGCTTGATTCTATGAGCCCCTCACCCAAGTGAAGAGCAAGCCATATTGGTGGGGTCCCACGAATACCAGCTCACAGACCAGTGTCCTAGAAGGGGAGCTCTTCAGAGTTCAAATATTTTTGAAGAGCTGTGACTTAAATAACAATATGTTCTCATGTTAAGTACAGAACAGCGCGAAGCAGGGTCCCCTGCCAGGGTGGTTTGGTGCATACACTGCTATGTACACTTCTCGCCATCCTATGTGTGCACGGATGTATTTTTACACACAGCTCTGGACAGCTGTCTTGAGTGTGGACAGCAGGCCTCAGCCTTGGCCTGAGGGTGGGGGTGGGGGGCATTCAGAAGTCTTGGGTCCAGCCCTCTGCCTCCAGGCCACTCCTACTCAGTGACATAGAGCCCCCTGTGGCCACCCTACAAGGGACTCAGAGCCCTCCTTAGCCTCTTCCTGTACTCTGACTTCCCGCGCTGCCTGCCTGTAGGCCTGTGGGCACTTTCCTCCTTGCGCCTGGTATGGTCTTCCCTGTACTGGCATTTGACACAAAGCAGTGGTGCCTTCCTGTTCCAGTTCTAGCTTAAGATAGGACAAAATGTCAGTGACTTTCTGAGTGCCTAGCTTATGTCTCAGGAGGCCACAGAGGTGGTCTGATGGAAGGAAGTATTGGCTGACTATAGAAAAACCTGTGTTGGGATCAATTCCACAGTGGTCCTCAGGAGTCTCTCCTGGGCTTCTGTTCATGAATGCTGGCCTGTTGACAGGAAGAATGTCCAAGTGCTCTTTCTCAGAATGCCCAGAGTTGGTAACGTGGGAACTGGGTTTTGAGGGATGCCTAGGAGTTCTTCCAGCAGGGAAGCAATGGGGGAGGCCCCTCAGTATCAATGAACAAAGTGTGCTTTGGCAAGGGCTCACTGGTGGACCACTGCAGGGCCAGGGCTTGTATGGTGCCCGCTCTATTTATGGCCTCCTGAATGCTGTAATTGTGGGTCTGTACCCACCCTGCTCAGGGTGCTCCTCACTGACAAACTGTCTGAACCTCTCTTTGTCCCCGGTGCCTAGTGCACGGCCTGGCAAAACCAGAGATGCCTGGTATATGTTGGCTGAATGAATAAGCCAGATTCAAAGGGGTGGGTTGTGGGAGAGGCTGTGGTTTTGGAGGGACCTGGGGTTTCTTGTGGGGTGGTTTTTAATATTGCCCTGGAGGGCGCTGGTCTTTTCTTTGCTCCAGCTGCCTGCACTCCTGGCTGTACTCCTGGCCCTGTCTTCATGTTTGAGTTTTTGCTTTCCCAGTGAGGAGAGTGGGGAGGTGGAGCTCTGTGCCCTGCGTTAGGGATCCCAGCTTGTAGGTGGAAACCCCATGGACAGGGAGAGCAAATGGGCACCCATCACCAGGGTGGGCCGAAGCAGTCAGGGCTGTCAGCTGGGTATGTCATGAGGGCCAGGTCCCTGTGAGGCCTTCTGGGAACGGGTGGTTTGCACCAAGGTCAGAGAGGTGGGAGGGGGCCCAAGGAGGGCAGGGCGGGGGCAGCCTTGAAGCCCAGGCTGGTGATAGGCCTGGGTCTGGGAGCAGTGTCTGTCTGGCAGCATTGTCTTGGGAGAAGTAAGGCTGGAGGAAGAGTGAGAGTGAAGATGGGAGTGGGGAGGAGGGCGGTCACAGGAAGAGAGTGTGAGATCCCACAGAGCAGGGCTGGCCAGGGCCCACTACAAGCACAGAGGAACTGATCTCAAGCAGGATACTGCTCACTCACATTTCCTTGCTTCTTCCACAGGCTGTGGCCAGGCCAACTGGGTTTGGCCTGCTAAGAGAAGACTGTGAGCATCCCTGGGCCACGCCGGCCCCCAGGGACCACAGACATCATGAATGACGTGGCCATTGTGAAGGAAGGCTGGCTTCACAAACGAGGTCCGTGCTGCTGTTGGGACTGGGCCTGAGGGTGGGGGGTGGTCATGGGGTCTGCTCAGGCGGTTGTCCTGAAGCAGGCTGGGGCCACGCTGGCCTGCAAGCTTCTCTCAGGTGGTGGGTGCTTTGGTGGCCTGGTCCAAGAGTGCTACACCCAGGTCTGCTAGACAGGAGGGGCTGCTTCCCTGAGGCTTTGGGACTGGCCCAGCACCCCCCACAGCATGGAGGTCATGGCCTTGCGGGGGCCTCCTGGCTGGAGGATGAGGCCCTGTGCAGGGCCTGTTGTAGGCAGCTGCCTAGCCAGCCTGTGGGCGGGGCAAGCTACTCCTGCCTCCCTCCTGGCTTTCCAGGAAGGCACTGAGGACATGGTTGGCCCAGGGCTGGTAAGCTGGCAGCCAGAGCACTGCCCAGGAGTTCCTGAAGGCAGCAAGGCAGGGCTGCTTGGCAGGGCCCAGTGCCTGCCTCAGGCCTGGACTCTTGGTTCCACAGCAGCAGTAGCCTGGGCCTGGGCGGCTTTGCATTGGAGCTGAAGAATTGGCAGAATCCTCATCTCCTCATGCATCGCCGTGGCCCCTCAACTTCCAGCCTGCCCACAGGCTGTTTTTTCCTCTATCCTGGCAGGGGTGGGCTTCATGTCCAGGTCCCCTGGGCAAGTCATTCCCCCCTGTCCCAGCGCAGGCATTTGCTGGTTCTTCCTGAGTTCCTCTTCCGGCAGACTTGCTCCTACCAGAAGCTCTGGGGATCCCATGCCAGTGGCTCAGCACTCCTCATACTGGCCCTCCAGCACATGGATCCCACATCTTCTGGTGGGCGGGGAGGGGGGCTGGTAAGGTTGGGGGGGTGTCCAGACACAGCAGACAGGAGGCAGGAGAAAAGGTGTCACTAGACTGGGTTTTGTGGGATGTACAGGAGCTCCTCAGCAGAATAGACCTGGGAACTGCAGGGTTTGGGAGAGGAAGGCAGGGGGCTGACCGAGGTGAGGCGCTGGGCCTCAGGGGCTCAAGCAGGGATTGAGGATGTGGTCAACTGTGTGTCTAGAGAACTCGGTTTGGTAGCTACAGGGAGGACAGTACTTGGGCTCGGCTGTTGCTGGTCTGTGGTCCGTGGGAAGCACCTTGCCTGGTTCTTCCAGCCCTCCTGCCCCCACCTGTCTTCTCATCTGCTCCCCTCTTATTCCCCAGATGTCCTGTCACCCAGGCTTCTGAGTCATGTCTTGCTCTGCCTCACCTTGTAGTCCTTTGGTATTGGGGACCCCTCCCCAAACACCTCTGTTCTTCATGCTGCATACAGTCTGCTTTTTTGGCAAATGTTTATTGAATGACTATAAGATTTAGGACTAACTCAGGCATTATGTAGGTCTCAAGTTACTGGGGCATTCAGTGGCCAGCTAGGCTCAGACCACAGTGCCCCTCTGAGTCTTGGGTGAGTGCCAGGTTGCTGCTTATGGTTGTGCCTTCTGAAGGGGACATCAGGCCCAGTGGGGCATTCAGAAGCTGGGTGTGAACTGAGCAACCTATTACTGTGTCCTCTGGGGCAGGGTTGTTGATTTCCTTGGGCCTCAGCATCCCCATTTATGCACGGGAGTGGTGGTGGGTGAAGAGCTGGTGGGGAAGAGGGTATAGTCTAGGGTGACATCGACCCTGCAGGCCACCTTGGCTAAACTTTGTAGGCAACAGTCCCACCCTGGCTGCTCTGGCTGGCCTCTACAGGGTGACCGTGCCTTTGGAGCTGTGTGGGCGTGGACATAGAGTGGAGGTCCCTGTGCATTAGGGGCAAGTGTGTATCTGCAGATCCCTGCCAGGCTCTTCCTCTTGCCCTGGGAGGAGGGCATCCACGTCTGGGCAGTGGCCCCGGCTGCTTCCCGACTATTTGTGCTCTGGGCCAGAGGTGCTGCAGGAGGCAGAAGGTACCTAGCCTAAGTGGCTGACACCAGAGCAAGAGGCCTGGTGGCTCACAGCCTGCAGCTGGACCGGACAAGCCCAGTGGGCCTTAATGTCCCCATATGCCCAACCATATGCCCAACAGCTGATCTCTGGGGCAATGAGCCCGAGCTGCTGGGGACCGGAGCTAACATCTGCCAGGTGGGCAGATGGGTGGAGGTGAGAAGTGCAGTACAGCCCTAGTGGGTGGCCAGGTCAGGGCCCAGTGCTGCTCAGACATCCCATTTTCAGAGGGCTGGGGTCAGGCCAAAAAGAGCCTCAGGGTCAGGTGGCAGGTCTGGCTGAACTTGGCTGGTGGTCTGTGATTTCAGTCTTCAGATAGTATATGAACTCTGTGCTGAGGCTACAGGGCCCATCTGTGCCACCCTTTTGGGCTGTCATCCTTCTAAAGCCTGGTACACTTCTGCCCATTTGAATGCCTGCTGGGCTGTGCCCATCCTGGCTGAGCCCAGTCCCATAAGAGCTGCCCTGGCAGAGCCTCCAGCTGGGAAGTTCACTCTGTCCTTTGTGACCCCTGACTCACAGTGGGTAGCTGGACCAGGTGGGCCAGGAGAGGCCAGAGGAGGGCAGCTAGAATGCTGGCACAGAGTGAAGAGACTGTAGGCTCTGGTGATATGTGTCAGCTGATGGCCAAAAAGGATCCAGCAGGGGAGGAATGGCTTGGCTGTCCTCCCTGGCCATCACCTGGTAGGCTGAGGTTGCATGGGTAGGGAAGGAGGGAAGTTGGTGGTGTTGGGTTCCTGGGATCCTGCCTGGAAGTGGTCACTGGCATTGGTTTTCAAGGCATATGCACCTAGTGTGTGTGGGGTGTGTGCCTTGCCAGACGGTCTGCCCTGTGTTCATGACACTGCACCTGCACCCCATTTCTGGCATAGACCCTCCCTGATCCAGGTCCCTCAGGCACCCTGGTGTAGAGCACTGAGGCCAGACCCTGTCCCTGAGGGGCCCCTGTCTGCTTCCCTGCCATCCTGCTCAGTTGAGGTCCTGGTGTAGGCTGCTCCCTCTGTGTACTCTGAAATAGAGGGTGGCCCCACTTCACTGCAGCATAGACCCCCAGTGTGTCTCTGGTCATAGCCTGGCCCCTGTTGTTTGACTAGCCCTAGAGTCCCTGTGTGGGGTAGGGGCTGCTCCAGCTCACCTTTGTTCTGAGGAGGCCTCGGCTCTGCTGAGCAAGCACCACTTGGAATGGCCTTATGGGGGCTGGGCTGCCCCACCCTGGAGCACAGGGAGGGCCTGCAGGGTTGACAGTGAGTGGAGGCTGCTGACCTCACTGCTGGGGTGGGCGCTCAGCAGGACCATGAAGCAAGGCTCCCACAGACCTTCCACATGTCCACACCTTGTGGGTAGAGCTGCTGAACCCTTGTGGGTATCATTTTTCCTGGCTGTCAGGTAAGGGCTGCCTCCAGGCTGCATCCAGATGGCCAAGCGTACGTCCCCTATGGGGCACCGAGGGTCCTGAACATACAGTAGGCAGGTCCTTGCGCGGTGGCCATGCATGGGGGCAGGAGGAGGTGTTGAGGGTAGGGCCCTGATTACGAGAGAGGTGTACAGGTGACACTGCAGTAAGATGGCAAGGTGTGGGAGTCTGGACCCTTAGACCCACCAGTGGAGGGGACAGGTGTGGGCCTGGTGGCTGTGGTGCGTGGCTGTGGTGAGGCTTGGACAGTGCTGGGCTGTTTCCTGTTTTGTGAGTATGTTGAGTTCTCTTCAAAAACAAACAACAAAAGAGGAAGCAGGGTGGCCTTGCAGTGGGGGCGTGAGGGGTCACTGCTGGCCCAGTCTGGACCCAGCATCTATGAGCCTGGGGCTCCCGAGCAGGCAGTGCTTCCCTCTCTGCTTCCTGATTACCCATCCTCTCTGGACAAGGGTGTCCTGTGGGAGGATGGGGTGGTGTGGGACTCACTGAGCTGCTGGGGCCCTGGGGCTGCCTTTTGACCCCGTCAGCTCCTGCAGGGTGGCAAAGTGTATGTTGTACAGGAAGGACACTGAGATGTGGCCAGTGTGTGGGTGGACAGTTCCCACTGCCATTTTTCAGGCCTGCGTGGTTGCATCAGGCTGGTTCCTAGAAGTGCCCTGGGGTGGCCCGTGGCTGGCATCCCCTCTGCTCGGGCACACATGGGTCGGGTTCAGGGCCAGCACTGGCCTTCAGGCTTTTCCATAGCAGGAGCTGCCCCATGATGGCTGAGACCACTGCTCTGCCTGCTTGGCGCTCCCCACCAGGCGACTCCCCACCCCTCCCTCAAAACCTGGGCCCTGGGCAGGGCAGGTTGGCGGAGGGCCCTGGAGCTCTAGCCAGTTTGGCACTGTGTCCTGGGAGACATACACTCCACGCCCAGTGCCCAGTGGGACAGGCTACCCTTTTCTTCCTGCCTTCAGATACATTTTTTAAACTTAAGAAATAACAAGTCTGTGTTTTTGGAGACGTTGTCATGGAAAGGGCAAGGTTTGCTGGTGACTGACCTGCCAGCCCAGGGGCTTTAGTAGAGTCCTAGGGTGCTGACTTTGGTTTGTAAACTTCAGGTGGGCCTTAGCACCACAGCCCCCACCTTTGCATTCCTGACCGACTTCCAGAGTCAGCCCAGATGCCCAGGGGCTTCAGCTGGTTGTCATGGTCAGGGCTGGGGGCCTCCAGAGCACTTGAGGATGGATACCTTTTGGGGAACAGAGGCAGGCAACCCATATTGGGTACTGACATAGGACCCTCAGGTCCTGAATGGACACCAGCTCGGTGGGAGAAAGGGGGGAAAAGGCCACTGCAGGTCTGGGTGGGGCCTCGAGGTGTCAGTGCTGGGATATCACAACAGAAGAGGACTCAGCATGACACCCACCTTGGGTGCCCTCAGGGCTCTCACCCGAGGTATGGGTCAAATTAGGGTGGCAGCTCCTCTAGAGGGTATCATGGAGGACCAGGCTCCCAGTGCAGTGATGTGTGGTTGAAATGCTGCCTGCATCTGTGTGCAGCAGGCTCCTTACCCTACAGCAGGGCCTTGGCTTAGGAGAGGTGTGGTTGTTTGGATGCTGAATTTTTGCTTGTGTGTCCCGTGGGTGTCTTTGGGGAGGCTG